GGGGCGGGCCCCAGCCATTTAAATTTAAATGAAGCCGCGATTATTTTAATCGCGGCTTCATTTCCCTTTTCCGATCTGGCTAATCTACATGCCTCCGTCGAAGGAGGCATGTAGTCTAGACACACCCATAGTGTCGAGCAGTCTGTTCTATGGTTGAAGGACAAAGGGTTGGAGGACTTACTGAGGGCACGTCTACACTACTGGGAAAATCGACGCTGCTGCAGTCAATCTTCCACGGTTCGATTTAGTGGGTCTGGTGAAGACGCACTAAATCAAACGCAGAGGGTGCCCCCGTTAGCGCTGGTACTCCTGCTCCTCACGAGGACCAAGAGAAGTTGATGGGAGCATTTGCTCCCATTGACCTCCCACTTTGCAGACAGAAATTTAAGATCCATTGACTCCAGCTACGCAACTAACGTCGCTAAAGATGCATATCTTATGTTGACCTGCTTCAGTATAGACCAGGTCTGAGTCAGGCATTAGCTATCCCAATCAAGGAAAGCTTCAATTTACTTGTCTTAAACCAAATAGGGAAGGCAGATCTAGGATTTGTAGGTCTAGGATTAAGTCTCTTTTAGGGTGTACAATAATTTCTTTGGTCTGAATGGATTGAACTCCATTAATGACTTGTACATTGTCACACTATCTTGCAGGAAAGGAAATTATTAGTAAAGTTATTTTTTTCCTGCTTTGTACATCATCACCATTTGTTATCGAAACCTTGTGTTCTGGAGCCTGAATTTATTCGTAACTTTGGTGCATTAGTGGGTTTTGCCCATGAAAGCTCATGATACCATCTACATGTTTTGTTAATCTTTAAGATGCTACTAGACTATATGTTGTGTGTTAAGTTTTTCTAGTTACAGGCTAACTTGACTACCCTCTGAAGCTTTTGGTGCATTGGGAAGCCTAGAATATAACTAAAGAAATATTGAAAATATGGGTCTTTAATAACAGGGTGCAATCTTTCCAGTGGTTTCTTGGAACTACAGTACTATAGTACAAAGTGTTGGCTGGGTTCGAGAGATTGTTGTCTAATCAATAGATGTCATAGATGTGTATTCGCTTGTGATAGTGCATATTCTTCTCTTTGTAGATGTTCTTGCTCTGGCAGGGGCCATTAAAGCATTAGCTGTTTCTACACGCAAAGCTCGTACTGCTTTATGGTGTGCACTGCAGATGACTCTACCAGAAGCCTGCTTAAGCTCTCCAGTGAAACAGGAGGAGGTGGAAAGAGCTTTAGAAGAGCTTTGTCTAGGAAACACAAGCACACAAGAAAAGAACAAGGCATGTCCTGAAGAGCAGGGGAGCAAAAAAGAAAATCATGAGGAACCTATACAGCTTTTTGAATAACTGAGCAGTGGGGGAAGATAGGAAGAAAGTGAATTGCATTGTGCTGTGGAGAACTTTTTTGTTAAAAAGAAAAAATAATTCAACTGATCAGTGCTGCAATTTTATTACTGTGATTCTGGTGTTGACAAATATTTCTTGTAATAGTGTTACTACAGTTTTAATATTGCTGGTATTGCAGTGTCTTCTACGTAAGATAAAGATTTTATTAATAAGGGAGACTGGGCAATAGCTGACCATTTTCTTGACCACTTAGCCAAAGCTATGTATCAGCTGTGACTCAAGCCATGACCTGAGAAACCAGTGTGTGGCTAAGCTAATTTTGATTCTTTTCTTCATTTGTTAGCTATAAAATTTAGCAGATACTAGAAATGCCATTTTAAAGGGTATTTTAATAATTACTAGGTTGTTTGCACCATTATGTATTATTTTAAGTGCCAGAATGATTGCTAAATAATGTAATTGTTTGTACTGTCACTCAACACTGACTAATCCACACTTCTGCATTGCTATTGTGACAGGGTGTCAAATGTTTCAGGTAATTGCCAAGAGTCTGATAGGAATAATCAGAGTTTAATGTTGGTTACATGAAATGCTTGTTCTGCCAATTAAGAGTTTTCAGCTGCATTAACCTAAATGAAAAGGTCCCATAGTATAATCCTTGTGACAAATTTTTTACATAATAAATAAATGAAGAACTAATTTAAGGAGTTTTTAGAGCTGCAGTACAACATTGCATGAAAATATACATTGGCAGTTAACAAAAAATTGTCACTCAGGATTAGAAATTAGATTTACTGTTGCCTCATAGTTAAAACCAGTATGTATGCACATAATGAAAAATGACATGGTTATTAATATGGCTATGGTACTTTAATTTTCAGAAACATTCCATATTTATTTTAATATTTTGATTAAATGTTTATTTAATTTTTTTTTAATAATATACAGTTGGGTCTTTTGCCAAACCTTCCTAATAATCAGATTTAATGATTTACTCAGGAACTATATATATTATATATAAATATACACACAGTATATAGGGGTTTTTTTGCGGGGAAGAGATGTTTGCAGATACTTACACAAATCTAACTATATACTAGGTTACCAAAGCTGTTTAACTGATTTCTTTTAGCATGAGAAGATTTCCTATATTTAATTGCTATTACTAGTCTTCATCCTGTGGCTTAGACAATCAGAAGTGTTACATATCATTGTGAATGTATAGAGTGATAATTAGAAAAGGATGAATACTTTGTATTTTGTTCTTATCACACTACTTTTGAGTACTTTAATGCTTTATCAATCGTGTCTTAATGTTAGATTGTCTTTCAAAATGTACTAATTACCAAGTATGTTCTTAGGTGTTAGTATATTATTGATGAATGGCTTTGGAGAGCAGTTCTTATTTTGAAAAAAGAATTATGTGAGGACAGGAGAAAAAGTTTAAAGATTTAAAATGAAGATTTGTCTGTGATTCATGATGTTATGATGTTGAAGTTGACACGTTCTCTTGATAAATGTGTAATTCTATTTCCATATACATGTACTTGCTAAATATTCCAAACAGTCTGTAATTTTGGACCTGTGAATGTTCCTCGAACACATGTAGTCTTATAGTTCTATTAGTACCAATATAGTATCAGTGGTAGTACCCTTTTAATGGTAATGAGGTGATGAGTGCATCATTTTCTAGAATAAGAAATCACTAAAGCCTCATTTTGATCTACTGATTAAACAAAGGAATTATTAGAACGCAGAATCTTCTTATAAGTATGCTCTACTTTTTCTAAAGAAAATTTAATCAGTTTCAGTGGATATTTTAAAGCCTTAGTCTAAAACTAAAAATTGGTACTGAAGAGAATTATTTTAGTGCTGTGAGTCTATTTTGTATCTGTGTGCGTGTGCAATCTGTTTGCACTATTTTCAGATGGTCAGATGTGCTATTGTGGAACTGTAGTTGGTGGTTTGAAAATTTTTCAGCGTTTACAGAATTTGAGGTTTTTTATTGAGTTATAATTACTACGTTACCAGGAAATAGAAATTGGAAGTTTTGATTTACATTTGTTTACAGAATAATTGTAGTCTTGCAGGATTGTTTTGTAGTCGTGAATGTATTGGGCATATTAGGACCTTTATTGTATTGTTTGTATGTAAATTATTGTGAAGGAATGTGATTTTAATCAGTTCATACTATAGTTAATGTGCCTTTAACAGTCTTATTTTTCAAAAACGGTAAGTAACTGTATGCTCACTTCAGCTTTCTGTTGCAATTTAGTAATACATTTAAAAGGGTTAAATGTAGCGGCATTTGACTATAACTGACGTAGCATATGGTATTAGTGTTGTTCTTACATAAAATTTGATTGTCCAGTTCTGGACTCTTTAACATGTGTAAGGCACAATAGCTGTTGAGAGTTGCCACAAGTCATTTGTATTAATAACAAAGTTGTGTTGCCCACAAATGCAACATGTGCACATTTAATTCTTTTTTACTTGATCTGCCTGTTTTCTTTTTAAAATTTGAACTATCTGATGCCCATCTTAGTATGGATATTTTTCTGCCCATTTCTTGAAATACTTTAACCATCAACAGCATTGACATGTAAAAACAAAAATTATTTCAAAACAATTCAGTTGTTTTTGTTTTGATCCACATTCTTCTATATTTTAGAGGGGGAAATACAGTCTTTTGTGAACTGACCAGTTGGAATTTAGGATCACAGTAGCTCTATTTGGTCATAGTGTTCCTAACTGACTATTGCTTGAATTGAGAGTGGAAAGCAATTTCCATAAATACTCTATTCAGCTCTTCACATGAATAAGTATAATTTCTTTTCTGGTTTTTTAGTACCCCTAGCCTGATTTTTATTGCCTTCAGTGGAAGCAGACTAGGGTTATTTGTTAGGAGCTTGGATTCAAGTGGATAGTGATTTTTTTCAGTTTGTGGAGCAATCAAAGAGTATGCAGTGAATTTTCCTTTTTAAACAATTTCCCCTCCACCCTGGGATAAGTGTCCCTTTTTTTTAACTGGCATGCATGATTAGTGTGTGCCAATAAGTATGGGGAGGAGGATACAGTCAGTGCTTACTGCAGCTGGTCCGCAGCACTGGTCAGCTTGGTTTCAAGAGAGCAGAATGTTTGCAAATTCTCGTTCCAGACATGTTAGTTAAAACACAAAGGTTTTTCTTTATTTGAATGGAATAGGGTTGATGCTTTAAGATCCTAAATTGCTAATGCAATACAGTACAGTCTTAAAAATCACAAGTTAAAGGGTCCCTTTTAGGGGCTGTCTCCTTCCCCACCTCCATAGCAGGCTGGACGCTTGTGGTTGTTTCCTGTTTCCCTTTTTTTGTTCCCGGATAGAAGATGTACCGGCCTGCTGCAAAATGAGGGTGCTGTTCCACCAATATATTTAGTACCTGGGCCTCTGCCTCTCTTCCTCTATGTCCCCAGAGTACCTATGAGAGTAAAATTGCTGTGATAGAACTGGTGCAGGCTAGTACTAATGCGCTCAGTATTTATTTGTCAGCGGTAAGGGAGGTGAGATTGTCAGAGAATGTGGCTGTTCTGTGTAGTGCCACATCCCAACAGAGGGGTCTTCAAGATCAAGAAGGCCTTTACCACAAAGCAGGTGCTTTTTACAGGCCCTCCTCTTCTGGCTTTTGCTCCTCTCCATTTGTTGGAACAGTGATGTCTACTTTTTTCTAAATGACGTAAACTCCATTTATGTGCTCGATGGAAAGGGCATTTTGGACATAACTAATATTCGCTTGTGTGTGTGTGTGTGTGTGTGTGTGTGTGTGTGTGTGTGTGTGTGGTGTTTTTTTACTCAGTGTTGTCCTCAGAGCACATGGTTTCAGGAAGGCACAGCACCTGGTTCTCATTGGATTAAAGAGATGGCCGATAGGAAGTTGGGTGCTTGATTTTTTTTTTTAATGGCTATACAGAAAATCTGAAAAAAGTAAAGACCCTTATCTTTTAAAAATAAAGGCTAACAAGCCATGCCATTTTCTGACCTGCTCTAAAAGCTGGCTTCCTTTTCCATCTGTGCTCTATGGCAGCTATGTCATATAAAAATGATGGATGCTGGGGCAGGCCAAAAGATGGCTGGTGTGTTTTTTGGTGGGGTCTAAAAAGTGAGCTTGACAATTAAATGTATTTAATTTTCCTTTTCATTCAGGACATTTTGGGTAGATTCAGCTTGTATGAAAACAAGCCATGTCTCCACTCTCTTGTGAAGACCTGAGCTCTGGATTCTTTTTGTACTCTACAAGAATTGATCTCAGACTGAGAGAGTCTGGTACATTCTGGTATTTTAGGTGAATACAAGGGAGAAGCTAACTTTTAAATGTGTCTTTAAATGACAAAGCCTTTGAGATTAAGGCAACACAGAAGCTGCGCACAGTCCTGCTTCCATTAAAGTCCATAATTGTGCAGATATTGACTTCACTTGGGCTTACTGTTTTATTGACTTAAAGTCTTATACTATTTAACTTTTTGTATATAAAAGCTTTGCAGTTCATGTTGAACATTAGGTACCAAAAAACTCCAGAAACATGTGTTTTTTCCCTAACTTATTGTAAGATTTTTGAACATAGTAACATCTTGCAGTTAGGAGGATAGTCTGCTTTCATTTAAAGCTGAGGAATGTACCTACTGTAGATGCTTTGGCTGAGTTAAATCCATAGGCTTTTGAGAATTTTGCACCTTGTTTTATCCTGATTTGCCTGGATGGAAATACAGCCTTAAACATGATAAGATCTTGATTTGTTTCTTGTGTCGTTTTAGCTGTCTGTCTCACCAGCACTTTTCTGTTTTGAGGAAACTTATATATAATTATAAAAGGAAAAACTGTGTATCTATGAAGTTACTTTTTATTATAAATTGTTTTATAATTTACTTTTTAAAAGCACTTTCTTTTTCTTTGGTTTTTTACTTTTTAATATTGTAAGCAAATCTGTCCAGTTTTGTAGTGTGTCGACTCGTTTTTCTTTACTAGCAATACTACAATTAAAGGTGCAAAAAATAAGGTGCATTTTAATGTACTTATTTAGCCTTTGTTGTTAGAAGTTAATAATGAATGGAATAAAGTAGTTTTGAGCAGCTTTTTTAGAACTGGGGAACTGAAACTATAATTCCTCTGATTCTTATTTGCCAGGTAAGCTTTAAAAAGGAAATTGTTTGCATAGAAGTATATGAACGCTAACTAAAGTGAGCGAGGCTAGACCAGTGTCAGCTTAAAAATCATTGCTAGATAAAGGTTGCTTTACATTTTTTACTGTACAAAATTTAACTGGTCTAAAACTTGTTTATGCACAGTAATTACTTAATGAACATAGTTTTTTCACAAAATTAGGCTATTTCCAATATAGATGGGAAAATAAGTTTATTTTTATTTTTATGACAAATATACAAAAATTAATAGCGTCTCTATTTTAATATACTGTTTGGTGTCTGAGGTGTATCTTTTAGATGTATGTTGGTCAGTCTCATTTAATTAAAAACAAATTTTACACTGCTAGTGAAATATTACTGAAGAAGGCAATTGTGAGTTAATCCGTTTAGTAGACCCAACAGAAATACGTGAAAGTAAAGAATCAAAGTGTCAATTTTTAATTCTATATAACACTTAATGAGGAGTCAGTTTAGGCTTATTGCCAAGTTTCTGTAAAATAACTGGATGTCTAATGACCATCGCAGAATCTCACTTCTACCTCTTTTGTGTAACACTTAACTTAACTTTAAAAAAAAAAAGGTTATTTATACCACACAGATTTCTGTTGGGACATACTTTTTTTAGAAAGTTGTTTCACCTTAACTAGTAAATTTGGTGTGTATTTTTTGTTTTCTTTAAGACAACTGTATTATATGGAACACCAGGAAGCCTTGTGGCTAGATTTGTGTTCACTTGTGGTAAAGTGACCTACCATGCTAAATGTGTACACTTATGTATGGTTTATATTTTTAAAAAGTACAACCGTAGGCAGAGATGCTTGTGTTACATGTATGAAAGTCATAGATTTATGAGAATCCTGTAATAAATCATGGCCAGTGTAATTTTCTAGCATTTTATGTATGTGATAGTTTTCTTATTTAAATAATCAGTTGTGTTGTATGTACATGGCTAATAAATAGTTACAGCTATTGTTTTATACAGTTCAACTCATGTTACATATCAGCTGCTGTTCTATATGTGAGGGGTTTTCGTTTGGGGTTTTTTTTTGTTTGTTTTTGTAAGTCACTGAAAAAACCTGTTGTATGTTCTGGGTAACACTTACAGTTATAAAAATAATTAAAGTATTTCATATTTTAAGTCACTGATTATATTATTTCAGTAAATTTATGTGGCGGTGGTGGGAACATTAGTTGTCAATGAGTAATGCTTGTCTTATTTGAATTAGAGTTGATGAGGAATATCCGTAATTCCAGTTTACTCCAAATGGGAGGGCGTATGTGCGAGGTGCAGAATAAACTACTAATTGAAAATACATGAAAAGAAAAGTTTTAGTAAATAGGAATGTGAACAACTAATTTGCTTATCAGATAATCAATGCTGTTCAAAGAGTTGATACGCTAGTGATGTGAACGACTAATTGATTATCTGATAAGCAAATGCTGTTCAAAGAGTTGATACGCTAGTCGACTAGTCTCTCCCCTCCCTCCCTCCCTGCTGCCTCTATCAGAAAGAGGCAACAAGGGGCGGGAAAGAGGAAGGGGTGCTTCAGAGCAGCAGCGCCACGTGGAGCCTGGGGCCAGCTGCCCACGGCGTTGCAAAGCAGCAGCCCTGTGTGGAGCCTGGGTTCAGCGGAGGACTCCCCCACTGACTCCAGGCTCCATGCGGCACTGCCTCTTTTAAACTCCGCAGGAAGCACGGGGCCAGCAGCTGGCCCCGTGCTCCCCGCAGTGCTTTCACCTTTGAAGTGTAGCAACAGCCCGAGGTATAATCAAATAGTCGATGCAAATTGCACCGACTATTTGATTAGCCAATTAATCTACATTTAATATTCCTATTAGTAAACCACCTAAGTAACTTTCACCTCCCCTGTCCTCCCACAAGCAAGATTACAGCAAAGGCAATTCAGTCTTATTGGATCTGATGCACAACTTACTTGTAATGATTTCTGAAAGCATCACACTTCAATTTCTGTTATGTTAGGGTATGTCTACACTACAGCACTAATTTGAACTAACTTAATTCGAATTAGTTAATTCGAACTAAGCTAATTCGAACTAGTGCATCTAGACCTAAAAACTAGTTCGAATTAGCATTTTGTTAATTTGAACTAGCATGTCCACATTGAGTGGACCATGAACCGAGGTTAAGGCTGGCCGGAAGCAGTGCCGGCAGGGCATCAGATTAGGACTTAGAGCGTGGAGCTGCTGTCGCAGGCTAGCCGAGGGCTGTGCTTAAAGGGACCCAACCCCCACCCCGGACAGACAGTTCTCAGGGGTTCCCCGCTTGCTTGTCTACCTCGATGAGGGACAGCAAAACAGTCCTGGCTTGGAGTGCCCTGAATGCCCACACTCGGCACATCACAGCACTCGGCCATCAGTCCA